CAGTCTAATAAATGTACCCGCAGTACAGCTCCACTTTATCTGCAAGAGCTTTTATCATGTGTGTGTTTCCAAAAGCACGGGTTAAAGTTTAGCATGTGTTCATCTGAAAAAAGCTTTGAGTGCACATTCAAATTGTGGTTTACTGACCAAGGACGACATGTTTGACTTGTGTGATTGTAAAACTGAATGTCGGTGTGCCTTTTGACCCGTTCCATGGTCAAAACAACTGATTTGAAATCACTTTGCCCAGCAGGCTTTAATGGTGTTTGACTTTGTACGCCCATAAACCCCTCAGTCACCCAGCAATGTTTCAGCTCGACACTAACACTCCTTCAGAGGCAGAAACACTCAGTCCTCCTGTCCATCAACAGCCTTCAGGACAAACATCAGACATCCATCCACCTCTATCCATCCATCCATCCATCCATCCATCCATCCATCCATCCATCCATCCATCCATCCACCTCCATCTACCTCCACCCACCCACCTCCATCCATCCATCCACCTCCATCCATCCATCCACCTCCATCCATCTATCCACCTCCATCTACCTCCATCCATCCACCTCCATCCATCCATCTACCTCCATCCATCCACCTCCATCCATCTATCAATCCATCCACCTCCATCTACCTCCATCCACCCACCTCCATCCATCCATCCATCTACCTCCATCCATCCACCTCCATCCATCTATCCACCTCCATCTACCTTCATCCATCTACCTCCATCCATCCACCTCCATCCATCTATCTACCTCCATCCATCCACCTCCATCCATCCATCTACCTCCATCCATCCATCTACCTCCATCCATCCATCTACCTCCATCCATCCACCTCCATCCATCTATCCACCTCCATCCATCCACCTCCATCCATCTATCTACCTCCATCCATCCATCTACCTCCATCCATCCACCTCCATCCATCTATCCACCTCCATCCATCTATCCACCTCCATCCACCTCCATCCATCTACCTCCATCCATCCATCCATCCACCTCCATCTACCTTCATCCATCTACCTCCATCCATCCATCCACCTCCATCCATCCATCCATCCATCCATCCATCCACCTCCATCCATCCATCTCCATCCATCCATCCATCCATCCATCCATCCATCCATCCACCATATTATATTTTATTTGTATTATCATTTTACCTCCTTCTGTCTATTAACCTGATAAAATGTTATGTTTTGCTGCATGTATCTTTTTAAAGCTCTTAACAAATAATCTGAGGGGAATTTCTTGTTGTTTATTTTTAACTTGTGATGTGTCATTTTGTAAAGCACTTTGAGCTGCATGTGTTGTATGAATAGCAGGGTTTCCCACACATAGACTATACTTGGGCGGGCCGCCCAGGTATATTAACGGCCGCCCAAGTATATTTCGCGACCCATTTAGTTGTTTTTTTTATAAATTTTTTTTTTAATATATATTTTTTTTATTCGTCCGTGACCACGACGCCATCTGCGATCGATTAACTTGTAGACAATGATCCCTCGCTCCCTTGCTCTGATCTCGCCTCCTTCTGGCCTGTTAAGTGGCCTGCCTCTCACAGGGTGACTGGCTGTCCACATGATGTGGCCTGCCGACATGGCCACTGTCATACAGATCATAAATCAAAGCCCTTGATTGGTCTCTGTGTGTCATTCAAGCTCGGGATAACCTCAGCTCAGGTGAGGTAAAGGACTCTCTGAGTGTTTAGATAGTTAACTTAGTCTAAGTTCTCAGTGGGTCTCAAACGGTGTGGTCACCATTTATGTAAACACATATTTCCATTTGAGAGGGTAGTGATTGGTCTAATGGAGAGTGAGGTGGGCTGAAGATCGGAAGGCTGTGAGTTCAAATCCCGCCAGGAACACCACCACTAGTGTGCCCTTGAGTAAGGCACTTAGCCCTTAGTTACTCCAGGGAGAATGTCCCTGTAATCGGTCATTATAAGTCGCTTTGGATAAAAGCGTCAGCTAAATGAAATGTAATGTGATTAGTAAAATATGCATGAATAAATAAATAAAAAGTTAACTAGGTGAAAAAAGGCAAGATACACTTTTAAAACTTGTTGAGAGAAAACGAGTCTTTGCTGCTGCCTCAAAGAGGAGCAGGGGGAGAGGAGGGAGAGGGAGGAGAGGAGGGAGACAGGAGAGGCTGATTCAGGAGCACAGACACACTCACAACTATAAATGAACCAAAACTAAATTAATAAACAAGTTTCAGTGTTTTTTTCATATTGGAAATGGTATGTTGTTGGTTATGGCCTTGATTTTATGATTATTGAAATGTATACAGTTCTGTTAAATATAGGTGTTTCCATAGATCTAGTCTCTTTATTTTCCCCTCAAAATGCACCAGATTGATGCATTTAACTCCAAAATAAAAAATAAATCTTACCGCGGGGGCATGCCCCTGGACCCCCTAGAGGATTTGAGGTCGACCCCCACTAAAAATCACATGGATAGGTTCCTAAATACATTAATAAATACATTTATTTTTTTAAATAGTAACCCATTTCCATATGTTCATGTGTGGGTAGTAGATTTAAACTATAGGGCTATCATTATGGACCCTGCCTGTACCTGTTCGCTCTGCTATCGCGTGAAGGGTCTGCTAACAAGCGACCAACAGAAAGGTTAATGTTGTTGCACGTCACCTCAACCCGCTACCACCACCCCCCAAAGTATATTTCAGATCTGTGGGAAACACTGGCAGTTAATGGACCAGCACCAGAGGCATTCCCATACACACAGGCGTTGGAGCTGTTCTTCATGAAATCCCAGAAGGATGAAGTGCTCTGACAAACAGTGCCATCTTTGCGCAAAATGATTATACCGGAATGAAAAGTCAATAAATAATGTTGTTAAAACTTTTTAACCCAAGTATATTTCATATCTGTGGGAAACACTGAATAGTGTTATATAAATAAAGCTTTATTATTATTATTATTATTATTATTATTATTATTATCCCTCCATCCTCCTCCATCCTCCTCCATCCTCCTCCATCCCTCCACGCCACCCTGACCTGCAGCTGAGGGGAGGGCGACCTCTCAAGGCTGACATAAAATGCTGGAGGAAGTCTTGAAGTCTCTCATAAAGAATAAATGGATATAAGAGCGACTGCTGAGAAATGATGAGTCACAGTTGGCCTCCAGCGTTTCAAACATTTCTCATGATTGTGTCATTTTGTTGTCTTTAAAAAACTGTATTAAAAGCTTTTTGCTGAGGAATTGTTTGGTGGCATTTCATATATATTGTCCACCTTTCGTCACTTGTTTCTAAGAATATGATTGGCTGGTTATGCATAAGCATCTTGATTGTAAATGTATGACATGGCTTAAATTCAGACACACTACCTCTTTATATTGACCTCAAACAATAATGCTAATCCCTCCCTTCTGTTGTTCAAGTTTATATTTGTAATTATGAATATGTGCAGTTGTTCTTTCTCTTTATGTGATAACTGGATTCATTTGAGTTTTATACTTTTTGTTGGACAAAGAACACATTTTAGAAACACACAGTTGGCCTTTCATGACACCAACAAAACCTGAAACTAATATGCAGAATAATAAATTAATTTAATTGTGTGTCCGTTGCAGGTTTACTGACATTTAGGGCCCACTTAAAATGACTTTAAACACTTACGTGATTTGTGTTATACTGTTTTGCATATTGGCTGTGATAATTACAGTAAATGATGAATGAATAATATACTTTGGTTATTAAAATAATAACAACTTTAAACTTGTTAAATAATTATTTGTATTTGAACAACTTTGCTATGGTAAGTGTTCTGTAAGTAACAGCTCTTGTTAGTATACCAATTTAAAGCCAAAAGCCTCAAAAAAATCCAGCACTTAATAATAAATAATGTTGCTGCAGATGTTCTGTGTGCTGAAGCATTTAAAGAATCATTGAGGTTGGGAAAAGGTTTCGATATCAGAAAGCTCCCAGTCTGAATCCTTCCTGTGATATCTCTCCTGCTAATAAAGAAGCACTTAGCCTCACAGCTCTGGTTCGCTCAGCGCTACAACGGTGCTGTAGATTATGATAGTAGTACCTGTGTGTGTGTGTGTACAAGTACAGATTACAGCAGCAGTCAACAGCAGAGAAGATAAAAGTGACTCAGAGCAACATTCCTCCAGCGATATCAGTATAGAAACAGATATCAACTTTAAAGCGTTTCCAGGTACCAGGTTTTGGGTGGATTTAAAAAGAGTTATTTGGGGAAAGTCTTATCATACATTAAGACACTGAAGCGTGTAATTAAAAGACAGAAAGTAGAGACGATTTAAAGGAGAAGAGACGTCCCTGAATTGGCAGATTGAAACACGATCTGAGTGTAATACCCTGCTGATATTTTTATTTTCACAGCCTCTTGTCACCAAGCAGATTTAGACACATATTGTAGGACTGGCGCTACGATAAGAAACACAATAAGCCCGGTGGAATTCCTCTTTTCTCATTTTCCTGAATTAAACAAGTCTCAAGCTATCATTTAACTCTACAGAACAGAGTCCTCCCCCAAAGCCTTTGCATTCCCTTTCAATTCAAAAAAGGTAGAACTATAAAAGAACAGTGAAACAATGGCTGTTTTCAATATCTAAGGCACCTTGAAGGCAACCTTAATTTTACCGATGTTCTTGCTAAAATGCAAGGACGTTCCTGGGGGGAATATCCATTTAATTTCATACATAGATTAACATTGCCGTGTCCTCAACCTTTGCACAGCCACAACATAAAACAAAAGCTCAGAGGAACAAAGTTTCAGGACCTTTTCAAGCAATCAACACTGATTGGTATTGGACTAGACCTATCAAAAAGATGATTGGATACAAGCTATTAAAAGAGATATAACTAAAGATTTTGAGTACATAAAAGCACCCATTCAATCACTCAATGTCAACCATCCATCATGTGTTCGGTTTCATCAATCAGTCAAGACACAGTTTCATGAGGAAACTCCACAGGAAGCTTCAGTGGGTTTTCTTACCTCTTTTCCAGACAGGTAGTAGGCGGACAGCAGACCTCCAACAAACCGGATGTTCACCTCGAACACAGACACCTCTGCATTCTGTAACATAGAAAGTAAATATGAGATGATGAACACACATTTCTCCTCCTACAAACAGTGACTCAGAAAGGCGAGAAATGTTGTGTTTCACTTCAGGGAAACTACTCTACACTGAGGTGGGCTTTCCACCGTTCTGAGAGCTATTTTTGGACTCAAACAGCAAATAATTGATACAGAAAACATTCAACTCTTGACTGGTTTAGTAATGCTTTATTCTGTCGTTGTTTCCTCAGCCACAATTGCGATGTAGATAAAAATAAGGACAAGTAAATCGACTACTTTGGTTCTGACTGGAATATCTCAAGCACTGTTTGATAGTTGGTTTATAAAGCACTGAATGGACCAAAGTACATTTCTGATCTTCTCCTACATTATGAACCAGCAAGAACTCGTAGGTCTTCTGAGACGGGTCTGCTTTTTGAACAAACTATCAGAAAACTGCTGGCCGTCTGAATCTCTCAAGTCTTTTAAATCAAGGCTGAAGACTTTTCATTTTGCCGTTTTATTCTTGTATTTAATATCTACCTTATTCTCTTTTAGCTTGTTTTATTGGTATGTTCCTGGCTTTTTAATGAATGTCTTTATATAAGCACTTTGAGTTAAATGTATATACATAAACCTGCCTTGCTGCCATGTAATGGACATTAATGGTCCACTAAATGTAAATATGTCTGATACTAGTCATGACCATTTACTTACAAACAACATTCCCATCAGCCTCAGCTAAAGGTTGTGTTCAATGGGAACTAGCCAATTCTAAAATGCTAAAAAGACCCCCTTAACATTAGCATGTTAGCATGGTCTTTGTGAGCATTTGTTGGTGTTAGTATTACATCTAAATCTAATCTCTTAGTATCATCAACAGTGTTTCCGTCAGACCAGGGCTGAGAGGGCGTCCACCCGGTCAATTTTGAATTGAGCCGTCCCTTATAGATACTATCTCTTTATGTTAGCAGGGTATATGCAGGAATCCTGAAGTCAAATGTAAAACCTTTTAAGACCTTTTTTAAGACCCTTTCCATACATTTTAAGACCTCATCGCGACTTCGAGTTCTAACCGGTTACCTTGGCGACACACTTTACCTCACATTGACTATATACAGTATTGATTGGCCTTCCTCCTTATCTTCCAACCATTTGGACGCAGACTTGCATTTCCCCATAACGATGTTGTTTAGCAACCGGCGTAAACGGACCTTCGCGCTATCAAGCAGTGAGCGTGCGATGTCCTGTTCAGATGACGTCAAACCCAACGGGATGCCATCAATAAACTACACAGAATCACACTACACACCTACGCCATGATTACATTCAGGCAGACTGTAGAATACAACCTCTTTGGACCATTTATATACTTATTGAAAACAAGCTACAAAATGTAATACCTTGGAAAATGCCGTTTAATACTTTTTAATAGCCTTAATTTTCGTTAAATTGATTTATCAACTTGTAATACTTTTTAAGACCCCGCGGACACCCTGGTTAGTGATGGGAATTCCGGCTCTTTTTAGTGAGTCATGTTACCACAGTTTACCACGGAGCCTCAGTTTCGCCGCTGCGAGGCCGGCGCTCGCAGTTCACACGCGTGCTCCACTAGCACCCCCCATCGCGTCCAAATCGCGCACGTTCCATGTTGTCCTGTAGCAGGCACCGCCGATGTCGGGGAAACAATCTTCAATACTCCGAAAATAATCCCACCAGACTCCTTTGCCCCTCCAACAGAGGGATGTCCTTGTCCTTTTTTTTTTTGGACGCCCTCGGCTCGAGTTCAGGGCGTTCAGAGCTGAATAATGGTGTCAAATGACGGCAAGACGCCCCCCTGGCGGAAACGCTGATCATCAATATGCCTAAATACAACCTTTGAAAAGCTCCTAGCATGGCTGAAAAAACGACATGCCAAAGTTTGCAACAGATTTTTCAACAATTTAAAGCTTTTCTTTTTTAATGGAACTATTTCCAATTTGTCACACAGCATTGGAGAGCTTCATGTCCCCACAGTTAAAGAAGAAATCCTTGGAAACCAAACACTTCCTTGAATGGCACTGACAAAGTGCTGCATCTAAAAATACAATGCCTCTATTTCCGGATGGTTTTTGGCAGAGGGAAAGTGACAAATAACAAAACATGTAACTTTGCAAAGCCATTTGTCTCAGCAACGGAACAATGCAGCCTCCTCTGCCTCGCTCCGTTTCTCTGCTCACGTCTTTATGAACAGATTCCTGACTCCGATGAAGTTTGTGTGCCTGACTGACAGCCCTCATAAGTCACTGCTGTCGACCAGAGATAGGACAATAGACTGGAAAAAACAAATTACATGCTAGACAAAATGTCTCCTGTCATTTCCCCCCGAAACAACGGATTGAGAAGTTAGATGGTGTTGCTAATTCTACCTCATTAAAATGTCGTTATTTCCTCCACAGCCCACAGGCAGAAGGGATGCAAATAGACAATCATATTTCCACTACCTGCTGTTAATAAGAAGTGCCATTTTTACTATGGTAGAAAAAGTACAACAGCAAAAATGTAGTCCTTTATAATAAACAGTAGCACCACTACTTTAAACTGTTGACTTTGCAGTTTTGTGGCGTTATCTCTTTCCTGCAAGAGGTCTTTACAAAGTCGGCATGCATAAAGTCAAGTCTCCTGATGTTGCTACGTTAAATCCATTTCAGAGCGAACAGAAAAACTGACTAAGCATGGCCTTTTTTTTTCTATCTTGGAACTAATTACGGCCCGCAGCCAGATTAATCAATCAGATGATGTTTTTTTATGAATGGCTAGTTTTAAAAAAGGACCTGATATGCTTTTGGGGGTTTTCCCCTTTCCTGTAGTGTGTTATATATTTTGTTGTGCATGTAAATGGTCTGAAAGGGCTAAAATCCTTCTCTCCCTAACACAGTGACATCACTATGTAATACTCGCACTTTTATTAACTAGCGTTCCAACACATTGTACGTGATAGGCTAAGGGGCGGGACATCTCTAAGCGGTTGACCAATCACAACAGAGCCGGCTGGCTAACCAATCAGAACTGTTAAACAATCAGACTGTTAATCACCTGAACTTTTGAAACAACATCCACAACATTAATCTGGCAGCAATTCAGAAATGATTTATCTTTTTCAGTCACTTGCATATAGACTCGCACTATTCCACTTTTTTACTATTTTTCTTTTCATATTTACTTGCACTATTTTTTCAGTAACTACACTGTAGCTATCTATGTACAGATGATCAATACAAGCCTTGAACTTTGAACCTTGAGCAGACTGGGCTCTGGTTTCAGACAGAGAGGGAAAAGACAGGCAGTATGAGAAAAATAAAGAGCTTTTTGAACTTTAAAGCATGGAGAGAGTAGAGACACTACATACTGATATACACCTGAACATCAGCAGGAGAGGACTCTTTAAAGTAGAGACACTACATACTGATATACTCCTGAACATCAGCAGGAGAGGACTCTTTAAAGTAGAGACACTACATACTGATATACACCTGAACATCAGCAGGAGAGGACTCTTTAAAGTAGAGACACTACATACTGATATACACCTGAACATCAGCAGGAGAGGACTCTTTAAAGTAGAGACACTACACACTGATATACACCTGAACATCAGGAGGAGAGGACTCTTTAAAGTAGAGACACTACATACTGATATACTCCTGAACATCAGGAGGAGAGGACTCTTTAAAGTAGAGACACTACATACACCTGAACATCAGCAGGAGAGGACTCTTTAAAGTAGAGACACTACATACTGATATACTCCTGAACATCAGGAGGAGAAGACTCTTTAAAGTAGAGACACTACATACTGATATACACCTGAACATCAGCAGGAGAGGACTCTTTAAAGTAGAGACACTACATACTGATATACACCTGAACATCAGCAGGACAGGACTCTTTAAAGTAGAGACACTACATACACCTGAACATCAGCAGGAGAGGACTCTTTAAAGTAGAGACACTACATACTGATATACTCCTGAACATCAGGAGGAGAGGACTCTTTAAAGTAGAGACACTACATACACCTGAACATCAGCAGGAGAGGACTCTTTAAAGTAGAGACACTACATACTGATATACACCTGAACATCAGCAGGAGAGGACTCTTTAAAGTAGGGACACAACATACTGATATACACCTGAACATCAGCAGGAGAGGACTCTTTAAAGTAGAGACACTACATACTGATATACACCTGAACATCAGCAGGAGAGGACTCTTTAAAGTAGAGACACTACATACTGATATACACCTGAACATCAGCAGGAGAGGACTCTTTAAAGTAGAGACACTACATACTGATATACACCTGAACATCAGGAGGAGAGGACTCTTTAAAGTAGAGACACTACATACTGATATACACCTGAACATCAGGAGGAGAGGACTCTTTAAAGTAGAGGTACTGATATACACCTGAACATCAGCAGGAGAGGACTCTTTAAAGTAGAGACACTACATACTGATATACACCTGAACATCAGCAGGAGAGGACTCTTTAAAGTAGAGACACTACATACTGATATACACCTGAACATCAGGAGGAGAGGACTCTTTAAAGTAGAGACACTACATACTGATATACACCTGAACATCAGGAGGAGAGGACTCTTTAAAGTAGAGACACTACATACTGATATACTCCTGAACATCAGCCGGAGAGGACTCTTTAAAGTAGAGGCACTACATACACCTGAACATCAGCAGGAGAGGACTCTTTAAAGTAGAGACACTACATAGTACTGATATACACCTGAACATCAGCAGGACAGGACTCTTTAAAGTAGAGACACTACATACTGATATACACCTGAACATCAGCAGGAGAGGACTCTTTAAAGTAGAGACACTACATACTGATATACACCTGAACATCAGCAGGAGAGGACTCTTTAAAGTAGAGACACTACATACTGATATACACCTGAACATCAGCAGGAGAGGACTCTTTAAAGTAGAGACACTAAATACTGATATACACCTG